CTTAAAATGGACGGTTCCCACTTAGTAAAAACAGCCAACACCACGTGAAGGTGAGGAACCATCGTTAGCCACTTTTTTTTTTCTCTCTCTTTACTTTTCTGAAAAAAATTTACTGAAATTTTAGTTGCTTTAGTTGCGTCCCCTAAAAGGAAACACGGAGAAAAAAAATTGTGCATGGAACCCGAAGCTGAGATCATATGGATCTCTGAAGTTTTCGGATCACGCATCCGAAAAGTTAAGGTCCATCTGCCGAAGTTCGGGTCAGACAATTGAAGTAGTTCGGTATATACCGAAGGTTTCAGGTCACACATCTGAAGTATTCGGTGCAAACCGAAGTGCTTCAGATTTCTGACTCAGAGATTTAGGAAAAACACAGTAGAGAACCAAGGAAATCACAGTAGAACAGAGAAAAAAATACAGTCGAATAAATAAAGAAAACTATTATCGAAGAAATTCTAATTATTAGAAAGTAATTAGCTGGCGTAATCAATGCGTAGCTGCATAGGAGCATGAGCGAGATAGATATATCATCAACTGACTGCTGGCCGCTAGGTACCTGGGTGGGCGAGCGACAATACGTAAGCGGTGGCATATGGTTCGATTGACAGAGGAGTGGGGAACGGTCAGACGTAGGGGAAAGGTTCAGGCTGAACCGTTCAGCACAGCGCAGCGTCAGTCACCGGGTGGGGAAGAGAGTCCGGGAGGGGACACTTCCCCTCGAGTGAAATAGAAAAAGGCAGAATCGCTGAAAGTCTGAATCCTTCGAAGTTTATATTAATGATGTGTACTGCAAACATACTTCATGCAACCACGCACATAATCGATTTGACAGTCAGAATCGGCCGACGCGATTAATGCGATTATCCAATGCCTGGATTATCTGAAGCGCAATTTTATGCGATAGACGGTACATTCACTGCCAAGGTCGCAGCTTCGCAGGTGTTGGGGAGGGGACGTAAATATCAAACGCAATGACGTGCAAATCTTTTATGCATGTTCTATAAAAGTCGGGTTTAAACATCATTCTCGGCACGCCTTGCTTGGACATAAACAAACAAATGCCTTCCAGATGAAATGAACCGCCAGCGAGATACGTTGTATGCAACCATCGGATGTTCACGGAACTATAAGGAGGAAAATTTAATTTTTTATTCCTTCATAGAAATAAGGAATTTTCCCTGTTTTTAAATGAAACTATGTAGTGATGAGACTTGGTCGTGACTTGATGCCGATATTTTACGGGAATGCACGATATATGGACTGCATTTTGCAATTTGGAACTATAAATTCTGGCCTGGTTTAAAAACAACGTATGTGACATTAGTTTCCCTATGCACATAAGTGCTTTCAGGATGAGACAGTATTTATAGTTCCAAATTGCAAAATGCAGTCCATATCGACTTTACTTTCAAATCGGAGGCGAGGTTTCTTTAAAATGAAGAACTCAATACTTTCACAAAACACCCCCTCCCCTGTTTGTGTAATTTTGTTAAGTTTCAGGACCTTTTCAATTAGTGAAGGGAAAAATTAAAACATCGAAGATAAAACTCAAATATGCGACGACCCGAAATCGTCTTAAAAAACCACTCTTTCTGATTAAAAGAAGGTACAGCCGGTTTTGTTGTTTCGAGATTCTTTTTTTAATACCACTTTTATGTTGCAAAAATGTTGATAATTTATTTTCACGGATTTTCCTGCTGAAAAGGATGCACGAAAATAAATTCTAAAACACCGTATCGTGCGTGATAGAGAACTTTTGTTTCATGATGTCTATCAAAAAAAAAAAAAAAAAACTCTTGTGTGAGAGATATTATTGTTCATGTACCTATTCCAATTTTTACTAGTACATACTGATAATGATATATTATCTAACCTTACTTTGTATTTTTAATGAAATTAATTTAGCTCTTTTAAATCATTCAGATATAGATACAAGACATATTCTTGTGGTAGTTACGTTTCATTTTAATAAGTTTATTTAGAAGAAGAAGAAAAAAAATTGCTCGTGCACAAACATTTTGGACGAGTATTCCTAACATTATTCAGCAAGAAACGAGAGTACAAAATATGAGTTTCGCAAATGACGAGGAAGTTGAAAAAACAATAGCGGCGTACGAGGCGCATACCAAAATTGCCAATTCATCTTCTTACTCGTCTTCGTGAAGCATCTTGCTCTTGAGTGGCGATCTCGAGCGACGGACAAAAAAACTAGCCCACCTTACTGCCACGCTGAGGAAAAACGCCGTATGAGCCTTCAGACGTTGCCACGTTTCCTCCGATAAAAACCGAAGTTACTGGGAAACGTGTGAATATTATTTTCTCAAATTTTCAGACAATTGTATGCACAATTCAATCTAAAATATCTGAAAATTTCAAGGAAAGATATGCAAGAATTTTGTCAAAAATACAGGTTTTATCAAGGGAAATTTGGCAACTCCCGGATGTTCATACGGCGTTCTTCCTGAGCACGGCAGCTTCGTCCACTTGAAAAGCGGGAGAAGCACGCCTTAAAAAACCGCATCGGGCGCTACTGAAGGCGAAACTTCGGGTGGAGGGGAGACTCAAAGTAGTGAATGATCGTTGCCTCCTGCGCAAAAACGAGGTTTTGGCGCGGCGCATTCGATAGATTTTTTGCACGAAGCCGAGGTTTCCGATCGAAACATCCGACCGTAAAAAAAAGTGTGCGAAAAATACGACGGTGTCAAAAGTTCTCTCTAAACTCTCCTGAGCTGTTCTCGAAGTTAAAATCGTAACACAGAAACTAATCTGATAGGATACTGATCTAATCGGATAGGTAATCTGTAGGATACTTCATGTGCCGTAGCATATCGACGCACACTGGAACGAGTCAATCGGATAAGTCGGACAAAATTTGGAAACTTTAAACGCTTATAACTCCGTTCATACAAAACTTTGAGGTTCTAAAGGTGGTTCCATCGGTTTCTTCTTGAAATTTTCTTCTACAAGCATCCCTTATAATTTAAAATGTGACAAAATATACATCAAAATTGGCAGTTTTAGTAAAAAAAAGTCTTGTCCGACCTCTCTAATTGATTCGATCCACTGTGAGTCGATGGATTTTTTGCACGCAGCCGAGGTTTCCAATTGAACTATCCGACCGTAAAAAAAAAATGCAAAAAATACGACAGTGTCAAAAGTTTTCACTAAAATCTCCTGCGCGCCGATTATTGAAATTTAAACCAGCCGGATAAGACATCGAATTGCGATATATTTCATGGTTGAGATAGGGCTATGCCCTGTCGTGTCGGGCTGACATAGTTTCAATAACCATTTGGATGTTAATACCGAATGTAGAGAAGTGGCGAGTGCCTAGACAGTCAAAACGCCTTCACTTTCGTGCGTATGCAACACGGACGTCCATGGAGCTCGAATAGTTGCATCCAGGAGTTAAAGTGGACTGCATTTTGCAATTTGGAACTATAAATTCTGGCTCTTCTGGAAACACACTTCTGTGCACAGGGAAACTAATGGCACATACGTTGTTCTTAAACCGGGCTTAAATTTATAGATCCAAGTTGCGAAATGTAGTCCAAATGAGTGTTCGTCGCATTCGACAGTAACTGTAAACTAAGGGGGCTTTGTTACTTTCTAGCTCCCCTTTGTTGATAGAGGGAATATTGTAATCCTCCCCAAAAAAAAAAAGTTGAAATTTCATCATTTCTGGGTGTGTTAAGGTGTCTAAAGTTCAACTACCTTACTTGAAAAACTGAGTACATCCGTCCGTCCAGCGTCCCTTAAGTCTGTGTACAGCCATATCTCAAAATCTATTTGTTCAATTTCATTCAAAATTTGCTCGGAGGGCCATATCTGTGGTCTCCTTGTTTTTTCTTGCACCGCGACATAATTCCAGCGTTGCTTGTTGTGCCGATGAACTATTACTGATTTTCATCGCGACGTTGTCCATTTTTCGAATGATGCTGTGATTCTTGAAATATAAAGCAACGTTACCATCCTAAAATGTGAGCTGAGGCCCCAACCTTCTCTGATCTAAGAACGACGAAGGCGGCAAAATCGTTACATGGTCACTTTCGGAAAACTTTGAGGGCACATCTTAACAGATTTGTACGTATATTCAGATCTCACTGGTAGAGAAAATTGATTCCTATTCTTTCAGGTGTACATAGATTAAAATCGAAGTTAGAGGCTGATATAGGGAGTACATAATTTCTTCATTTTCCTAATTCCTAACTTATTCTGACTTTTCCGGGTGACCGCAAAATCCCTGACTTTCTTGGGGGCCGATTTTTGAAATTGATAGACAAAGATTATTGAAATTGATAGACAAAGATTATTGAAATTGGTAGACAAACGATTATTGAAATTGATGGACAAAGATTATTAAAATTGATAGACAAAGATTATTGAAATTGACGGACAAAGATTATTGAAATTGATGGACAAAGAGGACAAAAGGAAAATGGAGCGACCCTATGGGTTGACCTTATAGTCAGTCTATCATTTTCCTCCTCAGTCTATAACAACCACCCATTTCAACCAATAGGATCGATCCATTTCCTCTTTGCCTCCTTTGTTCATAGCTTCGCCTCTCGATCTCAATAATCAGCCCGGAGGTTTTCCAGGTGCTCGGAACAAACCCTGCTGAAAAACTAGATGCTTGTCAAAATGTACCCTCAGTCGGAATATTTAGATCTGATAGACTCCATTTCCTCCCATCCGAAATGGGCCAAACTCCCGCGGAAGTGCGGAACCCGGCTTTTACGATAAATTACGCCACCTCGTCAACTCCGACCCCTCCCGGGACGAGGAGGGAGCGGGGGGTGGAGGGCCATTAAGAAGGGCCACTGAATAAAAAATAATCGACAAACGGCTCCTATGAATTGACCACATTGCTACGGCACGCGATCCTCCGTGGTGGTCGAAAACACGGCGACTGCGTGACGTCATGACGCGACGCCCGCCCGGCGATTGGTGGCGTGCGTTGGCTATGACGTGAAACTGGCCGACCTTCTATTTTGAAGCCTCTTGTCGGTCGGAGCTCCTGCGGCACTGAGTCACGCGCCCGCCGAAAACCGAGAACGACCCGACGCACAATCCGAGTGTTGAGTTCAACGCGTACTTCGAGTCGGAGCTTGACCCCGCAAGTGTTCCCAGTTAAACGCGTGCTCCGAGCCGGGGCCCAAAAAAGTCGATTAATCTTGTTTAATATAATATACATACATAAATCTTGTTATACATATAATTATATATAGAATAGATGTAGTTTCAAATAGATTCTTGGTAAAGTAAAGGGGTTCGAGCCGCTATCGGTGCAAGTTTATCTGTGACAGTGAGAAAATGAGTTCGATAATGGGAAGGAATCTCCTGACGGTTGATAATGAAGTCTTCAGGTGTTTCACCTTTTACTCGTGCCTTTTGTTTTTGAAGGTGTTCGCTGTGGCTGTCTTCACACCCATTCAGAGGTTCCGCAAGAAGGTAGGACTGCAGCCCCACGATAG